AGAGGGAGGTATATAAGAACAAGAGATGTATAGTGCAAAAGACGGAAAAGATACTCTTACAGCAACAAATTCAACATCATTAGGTACATTTACATCAATTATTTCCGACCGATAGGAGGAATCGACTGCAATCAGTACGCCTCCGCCACGTCGAGCCGGACGATCTCGTCGAAAGATACAAAAATTATCTGATAAGATTTCGTTATCAGAAATCGTGGGATTTAACCACGTCTCTGAGAACGCAATAATATCAGATTCAAACGAAAAACTACTTAGAAATAAACTACTGAGCTTAGACACAATGCCCCTAACATTCTGATATAAAATGTTTAACGAAAGTGGACGAGCTCCTAGTTTTTTGAAGTCGAGCTTGAGGTTGGCTGCAAAGGTTGGCCTGCAGACTATATGTTGACCGGCAAAGAGCGAGCTCGTTTTTTCTGCCTAAACTCATGTACAATCATTTGTGACGGCCAAAATTTTGGGTCACAAATAGTTGTAAATGATTCAGGCGGTACACTTATTTTGAACGAGGCTATTTCTCGGGGCTCGGAAAAGCTAAACTTAGGAATAGATACAGCAGCTGTCGACTTACTTGCGATATAGGCAGCGATAGCCTCACAAGAAGTATCAGGGGACAACCGAGACACGAAAACTTGCTTTCTAGGAGCTACCACTGTAAGAGACGGGGGCAGAGGAAGGGCTGGGACTGCCGCACCTTCTACAGCTCCTGAAGAAACTATAGGAGGTGGTGCCGACGTTTTAGAAGAAGCCCTTGTTCTTACAGGTTTAGATATATTAGGCACAGGAGGAGCTACCAACGGGGCCAACATAACATGAGCCGGCGAAGGCAGAGGGGAAATTTCAAATAAATTTCCAGGCGAAGTAGACAATGAAATTGCCGGCGACACATCTACATTTAATAGCGAGGGAATCGGAGAAGCTATCTCATCCGAGCTAGGTGGCACCTCTAAGAATTGAGGTTCAAGCCTACGCTTGGGAGGAGATTCGAACTTATATTTACTAAGCAAGTCGGTCCCTGTGTCAAACTCACTTGAGAGTTGCTTAGTAATTCTATGCAAGGTCAAAAATTTATTTCTCACATTGTCATACATACGAGAGAAATTAAATTGTATGTCTATGCAAACAGGGCATGACCATTTCAAACCACCACAACCTTTTTTAGGCGAGTAAATTTTATCAAGGTCACGACCACTTAGTCCAGCACACTTAATATGCATAAAATTCTCGCAAAACCAACAACTTACAAATTGCAGCACGACATTATGACACGAGCAAGTAGAGGGTTAAAAATGTAAGTAAATGCAAGAGCACACAGAAATGAAATTACGGTAAATGAACAAGAATATACACTCACTGAGCGGCGATATATGTGGACTCTTATATTAATAAGAGCGAAGAGAGCAAGAGCAAAAAATAACACAAAATGCGCGGGAGTAGCGATGCACCAAAAACAAATTATGGACAGCGAACAAACGCACAAACCTTTAACACAGCTGCCGGGCGCCAAAGCAAAACAGGCAAAATAAATGCACAAACAACAAATACTGAGATGACGCTGTTTATATTAAATCACATTAATTTACCCAAACAAATGAACGCAATAGATGCACAACTTCTTGCACTAAGCACAATATTAATGCTTTAGAAATTGAGCACAATTTAATGCTTAAATTCAAAGAGTAAACACGAAAAATTAAATAAATTTGCGGAGCACAGATAAAACACGTCGATTACACTCAACAGAAATCTCTCTCTCTCTCTTTTAATTTAATTTTGTGAAATCCATAATTAATTCGACATTTTGCCGCATTCAACTGCTCTACGCACTCCTTGTTGAGCATGAGGACGACCTGCATTGTTGCACGTTTTTTTGGCGCCTCCGTTTTTTTAACTTTCCAACCCTAGGTGTTAACCTTCGTGTTGAAAAGTTGGATGAGCTCTAATATCTTCGCAGGCTCTGCGGGCTTGGCCAGGATCCAGTCGGTGTGGCTCTGGTATCTGATCTTAGCTGGGCACCGTCAACAGACACAGTACGGGACAGACTATAGTGCCATTTCCAGTCGGCACCCTCATGGAGGGTTCAGCCCGAGGATTTTTGCCAACCATGTACATACTATACATAAACATGTATCTACATAAAATACATACATATCAGAGAACTGCAACGAGTAGTACATTTTCGGTCATATTCGAGTATTTACCCATACTCGGTATGAATATTTCATTTGGGTATAGTGACAAGCAATGATTGGGGGTCTTAGTGTAGTACAACTCAATCCACAGGGTTCTCAAATATTTTAAGACGGTGGGGCATAAGAGACCCCTCTTATTGTCAGAGATAATCATTATTGGGACAAAGAAGTAATGGAGAGTCTCCAGAAGTGTCTCACGCAAGTGGACCGCCGATTTAGACTCTAAGAGGAAGAGCTTAGCGAATTTGGTGAACTTGTCTATGCAGCTCAAATATACTCTATTTTCTAGTGTGAATACGTCAATGTTTGTTTTTTTATTTTGATACACACCCACTCCCCCGCAATTTGTGTTTTTTTTATAACTTCCGTAATTCTTGGAATTTTAAAATCAATTTTGGTAGTTTCATCCAGTTAGTGCTTATGTGTCCGTCTGCCAAGTTTCATCATGATAGGTCAAGAAAGTTATAGCCATAAGTAAAATCGCTGCTCATGCGCTGCCTGCAGCAGTGCCAGCAGCGCTGCCCGCAGCTGTTGTTGTTGTTGCTGCTTTGGTTCAACTTTGTGCTGCATACATACACGCATATAAACACGCATAGGTACGTGATGTAAATGTATGCTGTCAAAACTGAACATAAACATGTATTCTAATTTAATTTAATTAATTCATTCATTCATTCATTTTTTTAATAATTTAATTTTTTTTTAATTTTTCTTTTTTGTGGAGAGTACAGCCTATTTTACTGTCGGGCTTGCTCGACTGTAGCGTTCTATCTTGTTCTCAGTAGAATAGTCATTATCTGTTCGAGAAGATCCATACCACCCCCCTTATATTTAAATGTTGGAATTGACGCCGATTGTAAACTTTAACAAACATTAGTTCCTGCATTCACTTCATCCAAGCCCCCCTGGTTCTGGAGGCATTTATCCTTAAAAACAAGAGAGAACGCATTTGATGCTGCAGTTTTCGGACGTAGTACTGGAGTCAATAACTTTCCCTAATAACTTTTCTTAGAATTGACCCATTTGGATGAATTTAAATCAAAAGAATAATTGCATATAAATTACGTGTGCTAAGATTGGTTTATGTAGCTTTTAAAATGTGGACAGTATTGACGACGTTCTATAGCGAGAACAACAGAAGTTAATTGAATGTGTTCAAAAACAATTTTACTATTTGGTCTTCTGAGTCTAAATTGGGACCCGCACAGTCGCTTGTCTCCTTATATAGCAAGTCTATAATTAATATACCTTCTATCACTATATCACCATCGAATTTGTTGAGAAGGCACATTCCATCACAAACTTCTTGCCGCTGATATACTTAGATTAATCTTTCCTTTTTATACTCTGTACATGAAATGTACAGAAGTATATTAGGTTTGCGGGAGCTGAAAAATGTAACAGGCAGGAGGAGGCGTGGGAGACCCCACAAAGTATATATATTCTTGATCAGCATGACGAGACGAGTCGATATAGCCCTGTCTGTCTGTCTGTCCGTCTGTCAGTCTGTCCGTCCGTATGAACACCTGGATCTCAGAGACTATAAGAGATAGAGACACCAAATTTTGCACAAAGATGCGTTATGTGTGTATTCTATACGAGTTTGTTTTATTTTTTTGATTTTCCCCCCTATGGGGGTTTTCCCGATTTTCCATTCGTATAATCGCCTATATTTTGGAGACTATAAGACCTAGGAACACCAAATTTTAGTCCCAGATGCCTTATGTGAATACGCAGAAAATGTATATTTTGGAATTTCCCTCCCTCCCCCCTCTACCCCGCAAATCGTAACTCCCGTAATTCTTGGAATTTCGAACTAAAATTTTGGAAATACTCCCAGTTGGTTATTATATGTCCACTATGATAGACCGATTGAACGAGAAGTTATAGCCATAAATATATTTGCTGCTGCAGCGCTGCTCAAGCGCTGCCCGCAACTGTTGTTGATGCTGGTACTTTGGTTGACTGCACACATGTTTACACAGAAACGCATTGATGCTCATAGGCATACATACACTCACACAGACGCAATTGCTATGTAAATGTGCGATTATACACCATTTACGTGAGTTCGAATACCGAGAAAGGTAAAATCGATCAAAATTTTTTTTTTAATTTTCTTAATTTTTTGTATTTTCTATAATTATTATAAACATATGTACAGAGTATTTCAAAGTCGGGACACCCGACTTTAGCGTTTTTACTTGTTAGACTTGTTGAATTGGCAGCTTCCTTAAGATTTACTCGTCCATTTCGTATATTTCGATTACCAACATCATTACTTTTTTGTGATGTGGTGCAATTATAACCCTCTTTTTGAACACATATCGTTCAAATAATCCATAAAAGCTATTCTCTCATTAATGTACTTGCAACTGGGTACAAACAATATCTAATCCTATCCTACTTACTTAACTATTTCACCTTTTGAGTGTTATTTAAAGTAATACTATCAGCGGTGCCACAGAAATCTCCGGATTTTTCAGCAACAATTGTTTTTGAAATCTCCAAAAAAAAATCGGTGCCACAGAACTTCGAATTATTTAATTTTTTCGAACTTCCCCTCGAAGCAAGCTGTCAGCAACACCTGACTGTCGACGGTTACATTTGACTGACTTATTCTGTAAATCCTGTAAATCCTAATCCTGTAACGCACTCAGCTGTAAGCAACAGCTGACTGTCGACGATTACATTTGACCGATCAAGTTGTGTTTAAATTCTGTAACGTAGTAAGTTAAATAAAAAGCAAATATGCCCTTTGTTATCATTGTACAATTTTTATTTCAGGATTTTCTGAACCTCTAATAGCATTGATTTTACGAGATGTTCTCGCTGCGCTTATATATATTCATAAAAATGGCATTATTCATGGATCCATTAAAGCTGGCCACATATTACTAGATAAAAAAAAAGCCGTACTGACTTGTTTTCGAGAATCTCGTTGTTTCATTAATCATGGAAAGAATAGCTTTGTCATCCGTGGAATATCATCCGGACACAAAGATATTATAAATTGGACGGCTCCAGAAGTTTTGGATCAAAATTTAAATGGATTCACAGAGAAATGTGACTTATACTCAATTGGAATAGCTTGCTGTGAAATTGCAAATGGAATCAAACCCTATTCCGAGGCACAACCTACTTTTATGTTCACTGAAAAAACTCGTGGAAACGTGCCATCATTGCTAGACCAGTCAACATGCTTTCATCTTATGGAAGAAGAAGGTGAATGTTAATATTATATTATACATTACGTTATACATTATATACATTAATTATATACATTAATTCCTACCGCTTAGGAACTATACAATTTGGCACCTTGACGAGAAAACATGAAATTTATAGTCAACGCATATTTTCTGATGAAATGCACCAGTTTGCTGAAATTTGTTTAAATCGAAATCCCTTAAATCGGTGGAGTGCAGAAAAATCAATTACACACTCTTTTTTTAAGCAGTGTCGTTATACGAGTATTTCGGATCAACTTCAATACACTGTCTTAAACTTACAAGATCCATTTAAAATAGAAGGTAGGTAAATTTCTGGCTTAGCTATTTGCGAACGTTTATAATAATAAGAACAAAACTCGTTTTTTATCCATAAAAAAAATTTTTTAAATTAAAGTGGGAGCTGTCAAAGATGAAATTGCCAAGGTGAAACAGGCTGGTGCACTGTCATCCAAGCGGGCGACATGACCTAGTCAGTGTATCTGAACGCGCTCATATAGCTCATGGTTCAACTGTATTCGAAACTTGCCGTCAACGTTTAGGCATTGTTGTTGTTTATGCTGGTTCCCAAGTAGACAAAATCTTCTACAACTTGAAAGTTGTATCTATCTGTACAGACACTGTTTCCAATACGCCGCGTCTATCTACTTGTAAATAGGAAGTATTTTATCTTGTCCATGCTTAAATAGTTTTGGGGGTTGTATTTCAAAAGATCAGCTTTTGAATTTCTAATCGTAACCATTTTGGTTATGTTTTGAAAGAACAGCAATTGGGAAATGCTTATACATTACCAACAGATATTGACACCACCTGTCTGTGGCTGTTGTGGTGTCGTCTTAGGGTCAACTGGGACGTATCTTGCGACCACAAGGAACAGCAGTAGGTCCTGAGCCGCGACAGAACGCATGCTAGCAGGTGCCGTGTTTGCGGCTAGACACCAAAGCCAATTAATCGTCTTCAGTTTTATTTAGAGTGACCAAAAATAAGCAATAAATACGCATTTGTGTTTAGAGAGAACTCTCCAATTACGAATACGGTCCAGAACGACTCTAACACAAGTCTGAGGACAAGAACCAGTCTTCTATTCTTTCATACCCTGCTTCGAACCAGTAAAAGGGTATACTAGCTGAGTGCTAATGTATGAAACATACAAAAGGACGCGTGGTAGACCTACCAAAGTATATATATTCTTAATCAGTATGACAAGAGGAGTCGATATAGCCATTTCCGCCTTGTGTCTCTGTACCGTTCTTCTAAGCACTAAGCAGATCAAGTTTGCTCAGTTTATGTGATTTTTAATTAGATTATTTATTTTTTGTTTAAGAGTTGAGCATGCTCGTAGGTTCGAAAAGGCGTAGGCATACAGTACTAGAGGGGAACTTTAAATTCGAAATACCAAGATATTTGCCCCGAATTTAGTTTGTACGCATATTTTGGCCCTCTAAGACGACAGTTTAGTTGGTTCAGTTTGGGCCACTAATTCATATAGCTGACATATAACCGATATGGCCGTCTTTTACTAACATTGGTTTTTTTTACCGTATCAAAACAGGAATTCTCATATAATTCTCTCCAGTGCAATATATTTCAGTTTACAAAATAGTTTATTTTATTATTATCTCTCTCCTATACAGAATATTGTCAATAGTCCACATTTCGAAAGCTACATAAACAAAACTTTTCACGCGGATTCTATTTACAACTATCTAGCTTTGTTTATTTATTTTTTGAAAAGTTATTAGCGAAACAATTTCACTCCAGTACTACGCCTACAAACTGCAGTATCAAGTTCGCTCTTCTTCTTTCTTTTGCCTCCGCTAGGGACGCATATAACTTAGTGCCAGAAGTTTGTCTGGGTACAGGGTATTTCACTGTCGGGATTGCTCGACTGTAGCGTTTTTAATCAATACTCAAAATGACCATCAACTTCTACAACCATGTTAATGCAAAAAAATTCGTGTGTTTTTTGAATTTCTATAAAGTTTCATTACAACTCGGCTTGTGGTTTTTAATGTAATTGGCGAAGGCTCTTACTTTTTCCGATATCAACATAGTATTATTATCACCTACGACTTTTATTTTAATTTTCTGCAATATATACAAGTACTGCTTAAAGGCGTTTTCTGAGTATATGTTATTTATTTATTTATTAAAATTAGTTGCTATACATATATTATAGCTAGCAGGTCTTGCCCGTCTTTGCTGGGCCAAGTAAAATGTGCTTATAATTATAAGTTTATTTACTACAAGGTGAGTTCCAAAGTAAAAAGGGCTTTAAAAAAAATTCAATCAAAATCAATTTATTTTATTCAAAACTAGCAGGTATTGCCCGTCATAACCCGGCTCAATATGTTTCCAATTGTATTTATTTTGTGTGTGCATAACCTACCCATATGTTTTCACCTTAAAGGTTACCAGTAGGAAGGCATTTAAGGTGTTTAAATGAACATTTTCTGTTCTTGACAAAAAATTGTTCAGTAGTCCGTTACATTTTTGTTCTTGACAAACTATTTCGTAAAACGAAAATGACCACTATAACTAATATTTTTTAAAGCTCGTTTACCCCCCGTTGGAGCTAGAATTTTCCAAAAGCCTTTCTTAGTGTGCTCCTACACTATGATGGATACTATGAAACGATACTTGAGTCCAAATTTAAATTCACATTTGAGTCTTTTCGTGCCATATTGAGTCAATACGGCCACGCACAAACTCGGAATATGAAACACGGCACTCGTGTCAATGCCGTGCAGCGATGAGCCACGATCAAAAAGCACTGGCACCGATACCATCAAAATATCGAAGTTTGAATGCAATAAGCAGAATATTTAAATAATGAAATCGAATTATTTATTGAGATCAATAAGAACAAATCATATACATACATACATACATCTGCCCGCAATGCGAAGCAGAATATGCGTAGCTCCGTTATTCGGTTTCTGCTTTACTATCGCTTACGCAGTCGTTGCCTAGCGACGGTAACTGTAACATTTTGGCGTTTTGCCTTTGCAATTAACATTAAATGGTCAAAACGAAAGAAGAAGAGCGAGCTAATGACTTGCAGTTGTTGTTGTTTTTAGAGCATTATTTTTTTTTACAATCAAACAACTGTGTTCGATTGCCCAATGTATACATTAATACGAATGTACATACATGCTATATTCATACACAGGCATACAAATGTATGTATGTTTCTTTTTACTTTTTCAGCCGCACGTAGAGAACCGCACACATAGACACGAACTGTTGCTTGTTGTGTGTGAGTGTGTGTATGTGATGTCCCCAACTATTTGATATTTGTTGTTGCTGCATAAAATTATTAATGAAAACCCTAATGCCAAATGCACTAAACAAAGAAAAAATTACTTTTAAAAATGTTATATAATTTTCAATTAATTAACATTTCTTGCTCTGTCAGTGCAAGACGAATGTACATACATACATACATATGTAGATACATATGTACATACATAGATGTGCACATATGTACATACATAGATGTGCACATATGTATCTATGGACATTCACACATTAGTGTCTCACATTTTGCTTTGGCTATTTCAATCGTTTGCACGCAACTACACGAACAGCTGTTTGCATGTGTGTGTGTGTGTGTGTGTATGTATACTTAGTTGTCCCCAACTGTTTGATATTTTGTATTGTTTGTTCTCCCTGCTTTTGTAAAATGCATATTTTGAAAATCCTTGAATGCAAAGTTGTAGATTTAGTTACGTAGATTACATTATCCAAATTTTAAATCGATCGGGTTAAATTTATAACACAAACTTTTCATTTGAAATAGTGAATAAATATTAAAACCCCAATAATTCAACACAATCCAACACAAATTTCGAAAATCCGAGTATGCAGTTTTGTTTGTATTCTTTAATTGATTTTAGAAACTAAGTTTTAAGTCGATCGGTTGAAAAATGCGGATTTTTCAAACAAACTTTGGAGCTACTTTTCCCCCCTATGGAGCTCGAATTTCCCATAATCCCTTCTTAGTGCTCATCTACACCATGATAGGATACTTGAGCCCAAATTTCAGCATCCTAGCTTTCACCGTGTGGGCTGTGGGCTGTTGACGCGGTTTGCTTTTGTGCCCCAACATTTTTTTTACAGGAAAACTCCCATATTTTAGGCCCCAAAAAAACCAAGTATACAGTTTTTCTTGGAATTGTTCTGAGAGTATACAAACTAAGTTTAAAGTTAATCAGATGAAAACTGTAGATTTTTCATAAAAACGTTGGAGCCTGTTTTCCCCCCTTTGGAGCTCGAGTTTTCCAAAATCCCTTCTTAGTGGGGACCTAGACTCTGAAAGGATACTTGAGTCCAAATTTCAGCTTCCTAGCCTTTACCGTTTGGGCTGTGCGTTGATCAACAATCAGTCAGTCAGTCAGTCAGGACAAACTGTTTTATATATATAGATAGTCTTCTGCTTCAATACAGCTTTTTGCACGATCCAAAAGCATGTCGACCGAGTGTTTTAGCTCGGCCGTTATGGCCGCCCGTATGCCGGTGCAAGCCTTTTGAATGACCTCTACGTCTTCATAACGCTTTCCTTTCATGGGCAAATGCATTTTTCCGAAAAGGTAGAAGTCGCACGGTGCCATATCAGGTGAATACGGCGAGTGGTTAATGGTTAAAATGTGATTTTTGGTCAAATAATCGGAGACAAGCGTCGATCGATTCTGAGTAATTTTTGGTCGTCAGTCAATTTGTGCGGAACAAACCGTGCACACACCTTTCGTAAGCCCAAATGTTCGCTCAAAATGCGATAATTTGATGTTTTAGAGATGTTCAATTCCATTTCCATCAATTTCAATGATGATTTCGGCGGATTTTTGATGAATTCACGCACAGTTTCGATGGAATTTTCGGTGATCACGAATTTTGTTTGGCCCACATGTTGATCGTCATTTATGTCCTCACGACCACTTTGAAAACCACTCGTGCACTCTGCTACGGGATAGGCAATAGTCGCCATAAACTTGTTCCATCAATTGAATCGTTTCGGTAAAAGTTTTACCAATTTTAAAACAAAATTTAATGATGGCTCTTTGTTCGAAGTTAATTTTTGCACCGATAACACAAACATACTGACACTTAAAACGCAATAACTTCACTTCCAATCGATGAAATGTCATGAAATTCTCACTGGACAATCGATAAAAATAGCAGATTCTAACGCACCACATATAGGTAGCGCCACCAGGGGCGCTAGATTCAAAAAGTCCTGTTTACTTTCGAACGCACCTTGTATATGATATTCTTCTTTCGACGCTCTCTAAAGTTTTTTAAAG